CAGCCTGGTCCACATCCAACTTAATTTATTTTTTTTTTCAGTACTGGGGATTGAATCCAGGATCTTCACACTGAACTACATCCTCAGCCCCTTTACAAAATTTGTAATTTGGAGATAGGATCTCTCTAAATTGTGAAGTTGCCCAGCTTGGGTTTGAACTCATAGTCCTCCTGCCTCAGCCTCCCAGGGTGTTGGCATGACACGTGTGTACACCATGCCTGACCTCCAAAATCTTTAACTGCTTTGCACAAATTCACCGCCCAACTCTCACTAGTACCCTGGTGTGCATACTTACCCTACTTGGGCCTGTGTTTTCTGGCCTAAGGTCAAGGAGACCTGGGTCCCGCTTGGGCTAACTTGGAGGATGCAATCCTCTTTCTGTATCTCCTTCCTGCTTCAGTGACCTGCCACACTCCTCCGCTTCCAGCAGCCTATAACCAACCTGAGCTTTTTTTTTTTTTTTTTTTTTTGTCTTTTTGAGACAGGGTCTTGGGCTCACTTTGTAGCCCAGACTGTCTCGAACTCGAAGTGATCCTCCTGCCTCAGCCTCCCCAGTGCTGGGACGACAGGCGTGTGCCACCACGCCCAGCTTCAACCTGAGTTTTTCACTTGCTTTCTTAGTCTCTCCCCTCGTGCACCTATCTGATCTTTGCACCTATCTCATCTTTTGCTCTCTCCCATAGCTCGCTCAGCAAACCCTATTCACACTGCTTCGCCTCTGCCCCCGGGGTGCTGTGGTGCTCGAGGCCGGCTGCAGCCCAGCTGGGGCGAGCAGTGCTGCTGCTATGAGCCTGGGGTCCCAGCTCCTCAGCAGGCTGAGGCAGGGGAGTCACCCCTGCCCAGGAGTTCCAGGCCAGCCTGGACAACCTAGTGAGACCATGCCTCAAAATGAAAAAAAAAAAAAAAGTTAACGCTGTGGTGGCCAGCAGCAGAGGTCTGCGACAGGGACTCCCCAAGGAGGGATGATTTTTGGTAGGAAAAATCCAGACGTACTTCCTGGGCTGAGGGTGCCTGTTCAATGGACCTCAGAGGCAGAAGCGGGGCTTCCCAGGCACCTGACAGGGGCTTTCCCATCCTAGTCCTCCCTGCCCCATCCCTCCCTTGAGCCCCGCGTAGGGTGAGGGTGGAGATCCGGCCCGCCTGCTCCGGGCGAGGAGAGTGAGGGCCCACACTCGCTTTGGGGAGACAGCTGAGCGCAGAGGTGCGATCCATCAGCCCACACCAGCCCGCCCTCCTCGAGGTGAGATTCGGAGGCTGATGCTGAAGTCTCCACGAGGGCGGGCCTGGCTCAGATGTCCCAACCACAGAGCGTCACTGTGTTCCCAGCGGTGGCCCAGCTGGGAGGCCTCTTTCCCCTCCCCGGAGGGCATGAGCAGACCTCTGCCGAGCTGCCCAGCCCGGGTAGAGCACTTCCGAGCAGTCCCTCCCGTGACCCTTGGCCGTGTGACTGCACTTCTGCTCGCCTCCCTGGGGGTGATGACAGAGGGCCGGTGGTGGGCAGGCCGCGGTGCTTCTTGGGGTGACAGCTCCCTTTCCTGAGCTGTGCGCTGTGCACAGCAAGCCTCCTGCCACCTCCGAGAGCTGCTTCAGCCCCCCTTTTGTGGTGCTGGGGCCAGACCCAGGCCCGGCACCTGCTCTGCCTGAGTCGCAGCCCAGGCTGAGGCCCGAGGGCTTAGCTGGTCTCCTTCCTTTCCTCGGCCTCTTCCTTCTTCCTTTCAGCCGTTCACCTATCCTCCCGCCATCCCGCCCCTCCATCCTCCCACCCGCCCGCCCACCCATCCGACTTCCCTTCCCGCCTTCCTCCCTCCCCCGTCCTTCTCCCATGTCCACCCACCCACCCATTTTCCTCCCTGTTCCCTCTTTCTCTCCCTTCTTTCTTCCCTCCTTCCTCTTCCTCTCTCCTCTTCCTTCCTTCCTCTTATAAAGATGATCGAGGCCCACAGGAAGCAGCGGTGCCTGGGAATAAAGCAGATAAACCTCCTACTCAGGAGCTCACAAGTGATGGAGGAAAGCAATCATAAGCGAATAAACAGCGCGGGACCTTCGGGCGGTGTGAACTGCGGCGGGGTGACATGGGTGACATCCAGCTGCTGGGTGTGCTTTCACTCGGGTTATCAGAGGGATCTTTCTGTAGCCCTCTCAGTTCCTCTTCCTGTCCCCGTTGTCACTTGGGCAATCCCTGCGGCACGCGGCTGGGGGCTGCTTGGCAGAGGCGCCAGACGTCAGCGTAGGCAGAGCGCAAGGGGGCGCTGTGGTATCTCAGTTACAATATTCACACTGGAAGTTCCATTAACACTTCGTTTCTCCGTAGCGTTGATTGTATTTCTCTCTCTCTCTCTCTCTCTCTCTCTCTCTCTCTCTCTCTCTCTCTCTCTCTTTTTTAAGGAGGAGAGATTTAATTTTGATTGCATTTTAACAGATCCAGACAGGTCATCATTTCCCCCTCTCTTGGAGGGCTCCGGGGCAGGGCTTTGATGGAGAAGGGAGCTGTCTTCTGTAACTTTTACTTTTAGCCAATCCTGCTTTACCGCACGCACCCTCAGGGTTGGTGTGGTATTGGCAGCAACTGAGATGGGACGGTGGGACTGGGGAAGGAAATAAGCTCGTCACCTTTTGGGTCCTGGGTCGGGCCTTGGCTGCCTGCCTGTCCTGGGGTGGGACATGGGGAGAGAGTGAAAGGCTGCAGGGCGCCGGGCAAGGAAGCGCTTGCCTGTGGTCACAGCACTTGGGAGGCTGAGGCAGGAGGACTACCTAGAGTTCTAGGTCAGCCTGGGCTACCTAGTGAGTTCAAGGCCAGCCTGCACTGCATAGTGAGACCCTGTCTCAAAAAACCAGACCAAACCAAACCAAACCAAACCAAACCAATGAGTCTTCAGGGAGACGGAAGTGAGGAGTGTCTGCCTGCAGACCTCGGGGCAGGGTGCAGGCAGAGACTTAGCAGGTGTGAAGACACCCGGGGGCCGGAGCCCTGGCATTTTTTGGGGATCATTCACTCAAACGCCTGATGGCCAGACATTGGGCAGTGATTATGGGGGTACCGGGGTCCCCACTGGTGCTGGGCTAGAATTTGCATGGCTACCCCCCTCCAGGTGCTGCTTGTGGCTGCTGGGTGTGGCTGCCACTAAAATCCTCGCCAAAGCAGAACTGCTTAGCATGTTGTACGCAGGACACGGGATGGAGACAGGGCTGGCATCGCGAGACGCGAGTTCAGGGGCACCAAAATTCCCTGCCGGTGGGGGCCCGGGGCAGCGCTGGGGGTTTGAGCCTCAGCATGGAAGAGGAAAAGCCCCCAGTTATGGGGTGCAGCCTCTTGCGGTGTGAAGGCCGGGGCGCTCACTGTCCACTCCCCCGACGCGGAAGGTGACGCCCGAGCGGGAGAGGGTCGGCCAAAGTGCGTCCCGCTGGCCTGGGCGCAGGAAGGTTTGCGCCACACCACGCACCTTTCAATTCCCCTTTCCAGGCCAGGTTTTGGCCTCTCCGCTGCTCCTCCTCCCGCTCCGCCTCCAGCCGGTGAGAACAAACGGGAAATTTGAGTTTCCTTCGACGCTGAAGAGTGTCCCTGGCTCTACGGGGAATTTCTCCATGTGGACTTCCCAGGCTTCTGCTTGTAGGGTCCCAAGGGTCTTCTGACCGGAAGCATCCGGTAACTGGGTGGGGGTGGAAGGGCAGGAAAGGCCCAGGTTTCTGGGGAATGGTAGGTCGGGGAGGGTTGGGGTGGGATGGATGTGGGTGTTGGGATGGCCCTTGGGGTCGGGGAAAGTGGCTGAGGCCCGGGTGTCCCAAGTCTTCAGCAAAAGCACTCTGGGAGGCTGAGGCACGAGGATCGCCAGTTGGAGCTGGGGATTAGGAGGCGATTTAGATGCTCAGAGGGATCCGGTCTCAAAAAAGAGCTGGGGATGCAGCACAGTGTGAAAGTCCTGGGTTCAGCCCTCAGGACTGGAAACAAAAACGAACAAAAAAGTACTGGACTTGGGGAACCCTGGGAGAGTCCCGGTTACTGGGAGCTGGGGGTGGCCAGGAAGAGGGGAAGGAAACAAGGAGCAGAGACTCGGGGTGGAGAGAGAGAGGGAGAGAGGGAGAGAGGAGGAGAGAGAGAGGTGCTGAGACAGAATCAGACTCAGACAGCGTGAGGATGCAGGCACAGGCAAAGACACAGGCAGACAGAGACAGAGAGACAGGCAGAGACAGGCAGACACACAGACACAGGCAGAGGCACAGACAGAGATGCAGGCAGACACACGGGCAGAGACAGGCAGAGACAGGCGAGACACGCAGAGGCAGAGACTCAGGCAGAGACAGGCAGGCAGCGGCGGGCGCGTAAGGCCTGGCGGCAGAGGTGCCGGGCAGGGGCCGCGGGCGCCCGTCGTGAGATCGGCCCGCGGTGGCGCCGGGGTGGCACCCCGGGAGGAGGGGAAGGACGGCCGCGCCCCGAGAAGGCTCCG